GTACTTTTTGTTGATATTTTACAAACAGCTCCCTGCAAGGTCACAAATATAATACAGGAGACACTGTACTCTCACCGCTCACCTTAAACTCTGCTGCCAGTGGATTGCTTGTCCTCTCCAGGGATGTGGTGTCCAGACGTTTCTGGTACTCCGCCAGGCGATATCCATTCTCCCTCTGTTTCACTGACTCGTTAACGTTTTTTAGGATATCTCGACATCGATCCCGGCAACGGCAAAGCTTCTCGTATTCCAGTGTGCTGGCTGCAGTAGACAATGCTAATGTGTAAAAATTTATGTAAACCCAAATAATGAACTCTGCTTATTTTGAACTGTTAAATACGATGGGGGAATTTATCAAAACTGGAGCAGACAAAATCTTACCTGAGCAAACTGAGGAGAGATGCCGATTGGTTGCCCTGGGCAACTACTTTACATTCTGTCTGCTCCAGTTTTGATAAATTCTCTTCTATCTGTTTAATTATCTTATGAGCTTATAACTTCTCAAGCTCTCTGCCTGTGCTGCAGTATGGTGTTTAATTGTTGTCACTCAGGGTCAGGAAGTGTGTTACTGTCAGGGTCACCAGGTGACAATAAAGGAACAAAAGCATGAATAACAAAAATCAGAATACCTTCATGTCCTACGGTGACAAAGATACAGTACAGCGAGTAAGGCCTCATTCACACTTTGCATTTTGGGATTCCGGTAGCCTGTTTAGATGTGGCTGCTGTCACCCATTCAAGTTAATGAGCAGGTGACAGCGGCCTCATCTGTAAGCAGCACTCCGCATGTAATTCTATGTGATATAGATCACTGTCCCTGGGCGAATCGATCATGCATCTAGGGATAGTGATCTATTCCAAACCACATGTAATCATATCACATACGGTTACATGTGGACTGCCACATACAGATGCGGTCTCTGTCACCCAGTCATTAACTTAAACAGATGACAGCAGTCACATCTTAACTTTAAATTTGGGATTCCTGCCGCAGGAATCCAAAGTTTACTGCTGCAACAATCCCAAAATGCAAAGGGTGAATGTAGGCTACGCGTTGTCACCCTAGGACAGAAGGTGTGTTACTGGCAGGATCACCGGCAGTAACAAAAAGGAAAACACCACATCAATGGACCAATCCGCTGCAATATATTACATTTTTACTCTTGGGTTTAGATACTTTTAAATGCTTAGCTTGATGAACATTCCAGTATTGAATGCTGTATGATGAATCTACCTCGGTCTCTTTATTAAAGGGTCAGTCTATTTCAAAATGGTATTGGAGTGACTCTGTCCATCAGGTATCCTGAACCTACATGACAAGAGCAGCTTTTGGGTTTTGGAGATGGAACAGATTGAAGGACTATTTTTGTTTTGTCTTTCAGTCTATCCAATTGAACTTGATGCTGTTTTTTTCCCAATAAATAAATGTACATAAAATGAAGATAAAGTAAACGGAGAAAGGACACATTTATAAATGTCCATTCAATTACCAATTTTTCTTTAAATAGGGTACTCCTGTATACAAAGGGACTGATGTATAAACCTTCCACCCAGCATGAAGTTGGGTGAATGCCATATGCAGGGCAGTATGACCACTAGATGGAACGAAGGAACTTTGGAGTTTCCTCTGCTCCTCATTGCCATGTAGTGGCGGTAATGCTATATGCTGAGCAGAAGGTTTATACATCCCCCTTTCGTATACAGGAGGCCCTGATGTTTGCCTGGTGTATAATATTTAAAGAAAAATTGGTAATTGTATGGACATTTATCAATTTGCCTTTTCTCCGCATACTTTTCTTCTTCATTTTATGTACATTTATTTATTGCAAAAAAACAGCATCAAGTTCAATTGGATAGACGTGTTTGCCTGGTGTAAAATATTTAATGAGAAATTGGTAAAATAAAAACAGCTTCATAATTTATATCCAAGGGAAATCGTGAAACGTGTGCATCACTTCAACACTAACTGCTAATATATAAAGAACAGTTAGACTTTACTAGAACAAAATTATGTAAAAATTCAAAAGCACGCTCTTCATAACCAATTTTATGGGTTAGGGATTAGTGTGCTTTAATACAATTTACAGAATTATTTTGTAATAATAAAGTCTAAAAACCCTTTAAATATATGGGCTTACTCTCAGCGTGATACCCATTTTTTTCTACTTCTCATGTAAATAGACTACTTATAGTTAATAGGGGCATCTGGTCTAAATAAATCTAGACCTCTATGTAGAGTTTTTGAAGAGAAGCTGTCACACACTCTTCTGCCAGTAACCATTTTCCCTTTATGAATAGTCTTACCATCCGTGTGTTTGATGATGTTCTCCAATAGCAATGGGTATTTGGTCAATCGCTGCATTTCCGACACTATTAAATCCTTAAGTTGTAACCTCCGGCACTGGGGACTGCTCTCCGCCTCCTACAGTTCACACAACAGTAGATGGGAACATAGTGAATATTTATTGGAATTTAAATGGAAAAGAAGCAAAGGAGATAATGTTATGGGACACAAGAATGAGAAAAAAAAGTAACTAAAAGATAACTAATTTAAAAATAGACGAAACAGACAAAAAGAAAATACGGCATGTCCAAGTAACACATCACCTGCATAAAGAGATTAAACCGGGCTTCTTTCCTCTTTTTGGTTTTGATCAGGTCAAGTGCAATCGTCTGGCAAGAACAAAACTTGGCTGTTTCTTCACGAACTTCCTCTCCAGGAGGTCCATCGAACTACAGAAAGCAAATGTAACGATAGGAGTTGATCCTGAGCATGCTTGCAACTTTCTTATCTTAAGGTTTGTCACACAACTTGCACATGGATAAACTAAATTGTATTTCCTGATCCTTGAGAAATTTTTTATCAGCTTTAAAGAATATATAAAAACTTATATTTTATCTCTGGATAGAGTAGGGTAGGGGTAAGCAACATTGGCACAGCAGTTGCTGTGGAACTTCAAATCCCATGATAAACTGCAAGACTCTGTCAGCCACAGGCATGACTTCCAGGGGCATGATGGGATTATGGAATTTGTAGCAGAAGCACAGCTGGAGGGCCTTGCCATAGTGTATAGTCCATACATACAGAATCAAAACAGATACTGAGATTATACCCAACAGGTATAATTATTCCTGGAACTAGAAGGATCCAAGCAGCATAGGAATTTCAGTCCTTGTGTCCCATTGGGGTGATTATTTATTACAGGTGTTTATATAGTGCTTACAATTTACACAGAGCTTTACATACTGCACATTCACATCAGTCCCTGTCCTCAAAAAGCTTACAATCTAAGGACCCTATATCTCACATACATACATCCAGGACCGATTTAGACAGGAGCCAATTAACCTACCAGCATGCTTTGGAATGTTGGAGGAAACCCACGCAAGCACAGGGAGAACATGAAAACCCAATGCAGATAGGGTCTGGGCCAGGATTTTAACCAGTGCTGCAAGGCAAATGTGCTAATCACTAAGCCACTGTGCTGAGCTCTTTAATTCTTGACAATGTTGGACACAAGATTTTCTTTTAATTCCTGACCCAGAAATGCAGGTGTAGCCAGAGCAAAGAAGATTTTGCTGCATGCTGTAAGCATAGGGTGCAACCCTTGCAAGGCAAGTATACATCTGGGGCAGAGAAGGGTAAGGCAGAAAAGTTAAGTGTACTTCATATGAAAGTGCGCTTATCCTTTAAGACTCCATCAAACCCTGAGAAACCTTTGGTAGGTTAAAGCAGAACTCTGGGCACAGAGCTTTTTTGTCATTTCTGCAATGTAAAACACTTATTTCTGCTGAGATGTATCCAATGTCCGGATCAATGCTGCCGCTGTACCAACAGCATGCTGGGAATACAATAACTGCAGCTCTCCTAGGCAGAATCTCTAGTGTCGTTTATCAGCCCCCATCCCCTGGATGTTTCACAGAATAGAAGGCATTTTGTGAATTGCGGAGGTGAGACTGGGGCGATAAACAACACCAGTGGTTCTGCCTATGAGAGCTGTAGCTTTCATATTAGTAGTGGGCTGGAAGCACAGCGGGAGCTGTGCTATTCGACATGAAGAAATGCATACACAGTAGACGGCAGTGATCCGTACGGGGCATACTCCTGGGCAGAGGTAACTTTTTTTTGTACAACCCATATATGACAAAAGGCTCTATGCCTGGGGTTCTGCTTTATAATTATTTTACAGCCAAAGTGCACAAACACATTAAATTAAAAACAGGGTCTAGTTTTTCCAGCCTTAGACAATATACACTGAGTGGCCAGTTTATTATGACCACCTGACGTTTGTAGGCAAATTAGCTATAATTTTGCGCTGAAGTTGCTAGAGGGCCAGACCATTATAAATAAGGAAGCAGGTTGTTTACCACGACAGTAGAAGTGATTTTTTTCTTAAGATATCGGTAAACAACGCAATTTAACAGCCTTTGAATGTGGGATGATTGTTGGCGCGAGCCATGGTGCGAGTATCAGCAAAACAGCAGAATTCGTTAAATGTTCAAGAGGGGCTCAGTGTTTAAAGACTCGACCGTCAGCCGAAAATCTGGGTCTGAACGTGCGAATTGTGGTCGCCAGCGACTAGTCAATGTTAGGGCAGAACGGAGATTGGCAAGACTGGTACAAGACAACAGAAGGGCAACAGTGCAGTGTCAGATTCCTCACATCACCTTTCAACATCTTGTGGAGTCACGAGGTGGCCCTACGAAGTCATTTCGTGGAGTCATCTCGTGGCCCAATGAAGTACTGATGGGGTGGGCATAATAATCTGGCCACTCAGTGTATACTGTACATGCGAATTATGGACTTTTTAGGTACCCACTTAGAAACATCCAGCCTTACCCGAAACAACATGAGATCACCGATCTCTTTGACGACAGGTCCTTCTTCCCTCACCCGTTTCATGACTTCTGCTAGAGAATCTGGGATAGAAAATAGAACGCACTATAACAACTGACAGAAAGCATTTTTGCATTGTAAATTTAATCAGCAGGAATTGTGATTGATGTCCTATCGATAAAATAAGAGTTCTGCAGTCACCTTAACCAAGCCTGTATATACCCCTTCCTGTGCAGGCCATTTGTCAGTTTTCAGTGCTGTGATAGTTTGACTGACAATCACTCTGTCATGCAACACTGCACTCGAATGATTTTTATATAATTTTTTTGAGACAGCTAGAGCTTTCTCTTGGAATCGTATCTGCTATAAAACACCCAAATCAAAATGCCAGGACAGTACAAAACACCCCAAAATGATCCCTTTTTTGAAAGTAGACATCCTAAAGTGATATTTTTTGGCAACATTTTTTTGGAAATAAAGAAATATGTGAATATTGAGGGAGTTAAAACATGGAGCTTGGAAATGGTGCACTAGATACAGCGCATGATTAAATGTACAGGTCATACACAGAAGGATGGAGATGAAGGGGGCTGATGTACATATGTCTAGGATAAGGAAGGTGAGGGGTTAAAATACAGGTCACTAGAGACAGGATGCAAATCAGATGTAAATTTTAAGCTCCCACTATCAACTACCCCCACCCTCTACTTTGAATCTAATGAATGATTAATTCATTCATCCATCCACCTTCCTCTGTTAGAAGAGGAAGGGGAGGGCTACCAGATATAAACACTACACTGTTTAGATCTGCGATCACTGTGATTAGTCTTTACAGGATCACATGTTACAGAGCTGCTCAGATTGGCTCTGTGTCTGTTAACTGAGCCGTCCCAGTGCACAACCATTATTGGGCACAATGGCCACCCAAAGACTACTTCTCTGACATTTTGTTTTGTACAATACAGTGGTAGGAAGGTGGATAAAGAAAAATTGTAATGGGGTAGACACACCATTGCTGAGCGCCTGAAAATGCTAGTTGACTGGCCATCTCTGGCCATTCTGAGTAGGCAGCAAGGTACAGCACAAGTCAAAACTTCTGGCCTGGGGACATGTTCTTAGTCAGTATGTCAGTAAGTGCCAAAGTCACTGGATGTACATGACAGATGGGCAACCAGTATTTTCAAAAAGAAAGGTCAGTAATGGCAGTGCACATACTTTTCCAAGTACAGGTTTAAAAGTACAGGTTTTAACGATCATAACCGTTATTTTATTTCGCTCTACAACCTTAAAGTGACCATGTTGCTATAGTAAGGTTTCTAAGAAATAGTCCACCTGTAAAATAAAATGTTGCTGAATGCCGCTCCACTGCAGTATGATTGTGATGTGGTCCCCCAAAGTCTGCAGGGAAATGGACAACTCGGACATGTCTATCTCCTAGGTCCCCTGCAGATCTCAATGTTACTCCCTCTGACCTCCAACCATTACAGTATATAGTGATGACATGGAGGTCAGCAGATGAAACCAGTTAAAGCTGTAGGGGGACACAGGTGATTGACACTCCCAGAAGAGTCAGTTCCCAGCCAACTCCAGGGGAACATTTTTAACAAAGGAGCTGCATTCGGTAGTGTACGCGGCAGGAAATGTAAGTATGTACAGTCTTTTACCGGTAGACCTTTTCTTATAAACTTTAACATAACAATAGGATCACTTTAAAGGCCACGTTCACCTTTAACATAAGCTGACACATGCAGACAAGGGGAGACAATTGTTGAAAATGCACTGTGCTGTTTATAAAAATATTTTTGGATGCAAATGCCATACCTGTAGGCCTTTTCTGTTGGCCATGGGGCCTGGCTGAAATTATCTCAATGTTAACATTCCTATGCCCTGGCCCATGCATACGAGGAGCATCAGTAGTTTAAATATACTGCACATATTGGGTGCTCTCCCCCAGCACTGCAGGTTAATGGTTCAAAACCTGCACATGTGCAGTACTCTCTTTCTTCCCCTATCCCAGCAAATCTGATCTCAGTTGCAATTAAACCAGGAAGCATGCTCGCTCTTGCAAAGCTGGAGGGCGAGCTTCCAATGTCTGCCATGTCCTGTAAATAAGCTTTGTGGGTGACAGAAAAGGCTTACAGGTATGGCATTTGCATTAAAGGAGAACTATAAGGTGAGTGATTTTCACTCAACCTCATAGTTCGAGCCGACGTGTGACAATGAAACTGTCACACGTCGGCTTAATAGATCGGGAAGTGAGCAAACACATACAAGCGCTCGCTCATTTCTCGATCATGTCCCTGCAGAGAGCCGTGGCTGTCAGTCCCCCCTCCCCACTCTAATCCTCCAGCACTGACTGGCAGAACGGAAGGGTGAGGGGGCGGGTACAGCTGGCTCTGCCTCTAGATAGGCAGAGCCATCTGTCAATCACGTAGCTCAGTTGATCTCTACAGTAAAGCTGCCCATACACCTTACAACCATTGCACGACTTTCGTTGTGCGATCGTTGTAAGGTCATTAAAATTTCGTACGATATGCCCATCTTGGACAGGCAGATCGTACTTGCGATCATCGCAAGCCCTCCCTGCTGAGGGCAGGGCTTACGATGATTGCAGTGCCGAGCGGGCAGTGTGTGCTTGCGCACACCGGCCCGTGCGGCATTCGTCTTCCGAGCATGCTACCACCCGGTTTTCGAGCGTGCTAGGAAGACGAAAGTCGTGCGACCGTACAGTAGATGCAGTCGCACGCTGCCCATACACCTGCGATTATCGTACGATCGCGGGATCACCCGCGATTATCGTACGATAATCTGCAGGTGTATGGACACCTTAATGCGGCGGTCTCAGTATACCGTGAGCTATAGCTCGTGATATACTTGAGCTTTGAGTCACGGGAGGACGCTAGTTTATGTCCCGTGGGGAAAAACACTTACCCCCATAGTTCTCCTTTAGACAATATTTTTAGAAATGGCACAGTGCATTTTAAACTACTGGGACACATGGTCTGCATGGACCCAGCTTATGTAACAAGTGAACTTGAAACTCCAGCCAAAGCATTTTTTTAACTTATGGACGGAGTGTGGATGGATTAGAACCCCTTGCCAGATTTTTATTGCTGTCTGTGTATTTACTAAGAAGATTCACGTTCACTTTTTGCTTCAGTCAGGGGGGTCAGAGGGAAAGAACGTGATGTTCACTCCAAGGGTGACAGAGACAAAAAGACCCCTGGTGCTACCTGTACTTCTAATTTCTTGTCCTTGTGAAAAGAAACAAAAGGAAAAATATCCCCTGAAAAAACCTTGACAGAAGTTGTAACCCTCCCCCACTCTATTAAAAAATGTAAAAAAATAAGGGCTTGGCTGCAGTTCAATTGGCATGACAAATTATTGTTGGCTGTGCACGATGTAATTTTCTACGTTGCATAATTAACTGTCTTCAGGACGGAAAGCAGGATAGTTTTATTTGCTGCATAGTGGGATGACTGCCAGGAGCAACTGCCACAAGATAATAGGACAGCACAGAAGATATGGCTGTGAAACTAAGACCGGCTTTATGATCCACGCTCAATTGTAATCATGTCCAACTGCTACTTATGTCAAGCAAATGTGTTAAAACAACAATCAAAAGACTTGTGTTTTTGCCAAAGGGCAATAATTTTATTATCTGTCAGGGATGAATCAGTAATCACACTGGTCTTTAAAAGAGCCCTGTAGTCCTCATACATTCTATGGCCAAATATTTTTGGACACTATTATTATGTTCAGGTGTTTCCAGTGAAGGGTCTGTAAAAGCTATAGCATACAAAAGGCATTTTAGACAAATGTGAACTTCCAACCTTGGGAAGGAAAAGATTATTTTCTCTACAAGCATTTCTGTCACACTTGCAGAAGCTAACACCTCAAAGACATGGTGTGACCAGATTGGTTTGAGGAACGCAAGTGGGCTGCACAGAGGGTTGGCCTCAACGCTACTCAATTGGAACACTGTGTGCCAGGTCTTCTCTTCCAACATCAGCACCTGATCTCACAAATGCTTGTTTGGATGAAAGGCCAGAAATGGCCACAGTTACCCTTCAAACTCATATGTAAATGCTTCCCAAAAGAGTGGAGGTTTTTATATCTGCAAATCCCTATGGACTATGGTTTTGGAATTTGGTGTCCAAAAAAAATCAGATAATTGTGATGGTTAGGTTTCCACAAACCTTTGTCCAATGTATATCATAAAGTATATGCATTCTTTGCTGCTCACTTACTGTGAATTTCGATGAGTTCAGGAAGATTGGGGAAGACCAGCGATAGTTCATCTGTAGACAGCAGATTATCTTTACGCATCCTCTGGTAGAAAATGTGATCCAGAACGCGGAGAACCCGCAGATGAGAAGCCTCCGTCATAAACAGCTCTACAGCAGATCAAAGGTGTAAAGTCAAACTTAAAACTCCTGTGACATTGTAGTCATTTGTAAAGTATAGTTGCTAATGGTGGAGGCCGAGTAATACAGTAATTATAAAGAATTAACCTTGCCTATTATTTCAGGTTATTTTTAAAATTAGGGATGCAGCGATACCGTTTTTTCGGTGTCGAGTACGAGTACCAATATTTTTTATCGGTACTCGCCAATACCAAATACTGATACCAGTATTTCCATTGTGGAAGCTGGGCGGTGTGTAATGACTCGCTGCCTAGCTTCCCGATTAGCCAGAAAGCTTTCTCCATGCTCACTCGTCACAAGGTGACGAGGAAGAATGAAGCCAACTTTCTGGCCAATCAGGTACCCGGGGGGCGGGTAATGACTCGCCACCTGGCTTTATGATTGGCCAGCTTCTCGACCGATCAGGAAGCTGGGAGGCGAGTCATTAGATGGCGCACGACTTTCTGATTGGCAAGGAAGTCGGGGATGAGTCATTACCACCCCCTGGTTTCCTGATTGGCTGGAAAGCCAGCTCCATGCTCCCTGGTGGCGAGGGAGCATGGAGCTGGCTTCCTGGTCAATCAGGAAGCTGGGGATGAGTCATTACCCGCCCTCTGACTTCCTGTTGGCCGGGAAGCCAGCTTCATGCTCCCTGATGACGACGGAGCATGGAGTCAGTTTCCCAGCCAATCAGGAAGCCGGGCGGCGTGTAATGACTCGCCGCCCGGTTTCCTGGGACCGGTGGTTCCCATATCGGGATAGGCATCGAGAGCATTTGGTCGAGTACGAGCATCAGTGCATCCTTCATTAAAATGGTACCATGCATACATACATCCATGGTTTTATAAGATATATCTATATATCTATCTATATAGATATATCTTATAAAACCATGGATAACTGAAACCTTTTTGGTAAGACGTAAATGCTTCATCTCTGTACTGTGACTTACCGGTCTTAATTTGCTGCCTCCTAATACTACGTACATCATCATCACCAATAACGCTCAGAAGATGCTCACCGTGTATCACTTCTTGCCGCGCTCGTTCTTTCGGAGATAAGTGCTGTGCCACCTCCCTACCAACGGTGTGCTGCCAATTCTGGGCATCCGGCTCCACATCAAGGTCTGAGAGATGTCCCAGGTCATCTTCCTGTAGGTTGGCCAGCAAGGATTCACCAGTAAAGTTCAGGTTTGGAGACTCCATGCTCCTAGAAAATAGAAGAAGAATATAGCAATACATGCCTCTAAAATATGGTCAGATTCTGGAAACTCATGCTGAGAGAAATAGGGAGGCCAATATTGCTGGCTTCTTTCTGAAAATACAGGTTGCCTGGCTATGACATTGATCAGTCACTTCAATACTTTCTCAGTCACTGACCTGGAACAAGCATGCAGCCAATGACTAGTGATCTGCATACATATTTCCGATTGGTGACTCAAAAACTGAAGCCACTGATTTAACCAATGATCGTTTCTTTAATGACATGCAGTACCCTAAAACTGTAGAAAACACATTAGCTTTGAAATCACAGAAAACACCAAAAAGGCAGACTACTTGAAGAAAAATATAAAAATCAAGCAGTGGAATTATGTCTCTGTCCTGATACTAATTTGAATGGGCATTTCATTTGATTAAAGCTGAACTCCACGCTGGTATATGAACACAAATTAATTCAGCTCTGGTTCTATTAATACATCAATAAAATGATTTTTTTGCAGGCAGGCAGTACAGGTATCTGCATTTGATTTTATCAGCTGTACAACAGAGCTCAAAGTAGGAGAAGAAGAACTAGCAGCCAGTCAGTTGTGCTGCAGCTTTCATCTGCTAACAAGCTACATGTTGATTGGAGGAGGGAGCAGAATGCAACAGAGGTTTGCTCCCACTGTCAGGCCGCTGTGTACTGTGGCAGAGCTGTGCAAAATCTCAGAAATGGATGGATAAGCACAAATGCATTGGCAGGTTAAATAGCTCCCATATATACTGTATATTTTCTCTGTGAACGTATCTAAGTGCCTGGAGTTTTAAAGCATAATTCAGAAAAGAAATACCTCAGTGTAAGATATTAATTCATTTTTTTTAACCTCTCCTTTGTTTCCTAAACCTCTTTAGACTGCAAACTTGTACTGACCGAGCTCTGTCTCCTAGCTTAGCTTATGATTATGTGCCTGTTGTACTATACAGCTATATGTACCCTTGTTTGTGTCACTTACATTGTACAGTGCCACAAATAGTAGTGCAATAATAATGAAAATGATAATGGTAAAGAAATAAAATAATCATAATAATAAATAATAATAAATGCACATGTACTATTACCAGCTGCTTCAGAATAGTACACTCTGGAGGCATCACCTACCTGCGGATCAGTTTGGGTGTGAACGGTGGAGTCGGGTTATCCAGCGACCTGTGGAATAAATATAATATTTTTGATATCTGTTGAGATTAGTTAGCATTTTTCTTTTAAGATACATTCCTCTCCTTAGAGAGACATAGAGACTGCCTTTGTTGACTTCTCCTTTGGAAAACACCAATTTCCTGGCAGTCATATTGACCTTCTGCCTTCAATATTCTAACCCTGTATGCAGATAAAGGCTTCTGATTTTCACTGATCTGCATACTTGTTCCAGGCCAGTGGAGCAGAAATTATTAAAGCCGAGTGTCAGTATGACAGGTAGAAAGCAAGCATTTTCAGGAGGTCAGCAATGAAAGACTCCATATTTCTCTTAGGGTTTACTTTAAAGTGTAACTAAATCATACTGACTCCAATATCCCCCTGTAGCCATTGGCACTGCACAGCTGCTTCTCAAAACCTCCCTGGCTGGGCTTGTTTATGTGCTCTGCCCTCATTCATTTCTGTGGCGACCTCTGGATCATACTCTAGATTAGCTCTCCATAGGAGAAAGAGTGCAAAGTATATGTGAGGAACTGTATACGCTTTGGATTTGACAACCGGTGTTGAGATCAGGCCAGTAACATCCATCTCACTGGATGGGGGACAGGCGAGTATAGGACTGGCAGGGAAGACTCGGGATGAGGGGCAAATGAGAACTTTAAACCAATAGGGCTACCCCTGAAGACTGGCATACAGTAAATATTTAAGAAACAATTGATACACAGAAGATACCGGCAATATTAAGTATTTTATTTTTTCTTACAGTAATGCGTCTTCCATTACCCAGCCCTGAGCCTGGAGGCCCAGTGGTCAGCCACTCATGTCTGAAGTTGAGCCTGAACAAGACCCTTGACAGTACTGGTTGCCAGAAGTTCTCCACACAGATTGCCTGTATGGCTTAAAGGTCCAAGTCTGTGGTGGCAGCAGTTACTTTGCTCTATTTCAAGTACAAGGAGTCTACCTTCATGCTGGATGTGCCTGACCCTCTTCCCTCTCTCCCTGGAGTTCAGAAATAAAAGAGAATCATCTTGGAGCTATTGTCTGGACTTCAATCTGTCGGTAACCACTGGAAGTGGTAAGTGCTATTGGGGAAGCCATGTGTTTTTAATAATCCCTAGACAGGCTATGGAAGACCCGATCATTCAGCGGCTCCTTCGGGGGTGAGCACTACACTTGTGTCTGGTTCTCCAAAACTATCATTCCTTATTGACCTTGTCAAGGAAAAATCACAACTTAAAGTGACAGTAAACTCAGGAGTTAAATCTTAAAAATGTGTTCTAGCACCTTAACTATTAACAAAAATTTACCTTATTTCTGTATCACTCAGCTGTAGAGCCTTGAATCATCTCTGAATTGGTGCCAACACTGTCCTTCCTTCTGGAGGGTGGCTACTTTTGTTCCTCACGGTCCCTCTGTCTCTTGTAAAGTAGCCACCGCTCCAAGCTCGCTCCTGTGATGGACTAAAATCTCAATACAAATTGGTAAACTAAACGTGAGATTGTAGTCCATGACAGGAGCAATCTTGGAGCGGTGGCTACTTTACAACATAGATAGAGATCATGGGGAACAAAAGTAGAGACCCTCCAGAAGGAAGGACAGTGTCATCACCAACTCAGAAATGAGTTGAGGATCCACAGCCGAGTGGTACAGTTGAGCCTGAACAAGACCCTTGACAGTACTGGTTGCCAGAAGTTCTCCACACAGATTGCCTGTATGGCTTAAAGGTCCAAGTCTGTGGTGGCAGCAGTTACTTTGCTCTATTTCAAGTACAAGGAGTCTACCTTCATGCTGGATGTGCCTGACCCTCTTCCCTCTCTCCCTGGAGTTCAGAAATAAAAGAGAATCATCTTGGAGCTATTGTCTGGACTTCAATCTGTCGGTAACCACTGGAAGTGGTAAGTGCTATTGGGGAAGCCATGTGTTTTTAATAATCCCTAGACAGGCTATGGAAGACCCGATCATTCAGCGGCTCCTTCGGGGGTGAGCACTACACTTGTGTCTGGTTCTCCAAAACTATCATTCCTTATTGACCTTGTCAAGGAAAAATCACAACTTAAAGTGACAGTAAACTCAGGAGTTAAATCTTAAAAATGTGTTCTAGCACCTTAACTATTAACAAAAATTTACCTTATTTCTGTATCACTCAGCTGTAGAGCCTTGAATCATCTCTGAATTGGTGCCAACACTGTCCTTCCTTCTGGAGGGTGGCTACTTTTGTTCCTCACGGTCCCTCTGTCTCTTGTAAAGTAGCCACCGCTCCAAGCTCGCTCCTGTGATGGACTAAAATCTCAATACAAATTGGTAAACTAAACGTGAGATTGTAGTCCATGACAGGAGCAATCTTGGAGCGGTGGCTACTTTACAACATAGATAGAGATCATGGGGAACAAAAGTAGAGACCCTCCAGAAGGAAGGACAGTGTCATCACCAACTCAGAAATGAGTTGAGGATCCACAGCCGAGTGGTACACAAATAAGATACATTTTTGTTACTAGTTAAGGTTCTTTAATGCATTAAATCTCCCCATACAGCATCCAGCCGTCCTCGCTCTAGGTAGATGCGGGAATTTAGGCAGCTCTATCTAGAGCGAAGACGGCTGGACGCTGTATGAGGCAATTTAATGTAGTTTGAAGTCCAGCCGTCCTTCCCCATCTCTCCTAACTGAAGCTTCGTACCTCAGTACAGAGCTCTGCCTGGGAGAGAATGTGCTGAAGTCTGATCTTTGCAGCTGTGATCGAGTGATCACAATTACAATGCTTTCCAAGCTTCACTGCAAATATTAAAGAAATGCATATTTTTATATATACAATTAATTAGGCATTTCTTTAATTTTCGCAAAAGGTGAACTTAGCCTTTAAGCATGTACTGTTAATTTTTTCCTATGAAGGGTAGGTGCGTGTGTAAAATATTTCATAGCCGATAAAGGCAACACAGACCTTGTGGATAGGCTGGAAGCTGAGGACGAAGCCGACTGGTGTAATCGGGTGGCCTCTGCAGCAGCATCCATGTCCACATCACTGCGGGAGCGGGGAACGTTGTCAGCTTTGCGGGATTTCTTCAGCTCCTCACGACCCTTCAAGCTTTCTGAGCGACCGAGTTTCACCTCTGCCCTGGCACTGCAAAATAAAGAATTCTATTACTGTCATATTGCAGGTATCATTCATTATAGGATGCAGAAACAAAAATCACCTAAAACCAAAGAGTTTAATGTTTGGGAGCTGCCACCTTGGTCCAAGCATGGCTTCCTGTAGGTGGGATCAGGCCTGTCATTTCCATTAAGAAAACAGACCCCACCTGTATGCATTGTTATTTGTTATGCAGTGTGCAAGTGCACTCCTGAAATTCATGAGAAAGAAACTGCTTTTTTCCCCATAGCATTTTCCCCATTGTCATGTGTCTGCTACTGTGCAACAATCCATGCAAGCAGGGGAGCACAGCTATTCCATCAAGCTCAATGAGCAGCAAAGAAAGGGTAGGAAACCTCCGAATTGACAAATAGAAAAAGGAGTATGCACTGCTACTTTAACCATCAGCATGAGAAAGGAATGGGTGCAGTATATGTTTTAGGTTGAAGACATCAGGAGGTGGCTAGCAAGTGGATGTGACACCTAAATGAGAAAGCAGGATCAAAAATTACTCCAAAGCAATAAGCTTGGGGACCTCAGGCAGGGTAGCATACTTAGAAGTTCTGTTTTATCCAAATTACATGAAAGGAAGCAAAACACAGATAGGATTGATTTGAGTATCATCCAGTGAAACCTGGAAATCCAAAATAAGTAATCAACTATCCAAGGCTATGGATATAGATGACAAAAAGAAAGACGAGAGGAGATTCAAGAAATTGCAATGTTTTTTGGCCATTAATGTTATCAACCTGACCCCTTCCCATAACAAGATAAAATTCTGCTTCTGTTTTTTCTGCGTCTTTTCTGACTACAGTTACAAAAGTGGGGCAATTGACTGCAATAAGGGCCACAAATTAGGCTAGGCACATAAAGCCATCTTTAAATCTTAGCTCAAATCTTACTTCAAGTGTTTACAAAGCATTTAAAAGCCATCAAGATATTCTACTGAAGGCTTCTAAGCACCCTTTAGCTCCAGAATGGGTAGGGACAGTTGTTTCCAAAATAAAATGAGATCTTCCTAGGGGAGGCACAAACATGGGTTCTAAGGCTGGCTATACACAGGAATTGGCTGAAGTTCTAATGGTGGGTGGCATTGCGGGCTCGACATCCAATACTTTTGGCAATATAGTGTAACGCCTGCCTTTACACGCACATGAACTTTATAGGCATCTCAGTCTTAGTCTGTAGGGTTCAATATTGAGTTGGCCCACCCTTTGCAGCTATAAAAGTTTCAACTCTTCAGGGAAGGCTGTCCACAAGGTTTAGGAGTGTGTCTATGGGAATGTTTGACCATTTGTGAGGTCAGGCACTGATGTTGGACAAGAAGGCCTGGCTCGCAGTCTCCGCTCTAATTCATCCCAAAGGTGTTCTGTCGGGTTGAGGTCAGGACTCTGTGCAGGCCAGTCAAGTTTCTCCACCCCAAACTCACTCATCCATGTCTTTATGGACCTTGCTTTGTGCACTGGTGCGTAGTCATGTTGGAACAGGAAGGGGCCATCACCAAACTGTTGCCACAAAGTTGGGAGCATGACATTGTCCAAAATGTCTTGGTATGCTAATGCCTTAAGAGTTCCCTTCACTGGAACTAAGGAGCCAAGCCCAACACCTGCAAAAAAAACCCACATCATAATCCCCCCTCCACCAAACTTTACACTTGGCACAATGCAGTCAGGCAAGTACCGTTCTCCTGGCAACCGCCAAACCCAGACACGTCCATCGGATTGCCAGACAGAGAAGCGTGATCAGTCACTCCAGAAAACGCGTCTCCACTTCTCTGGAGTACAGTGGTGGCGTGCTGTACACCACTGCATCCGACGCTTTGCATCACACTTGGTGATGTAAGGCTTGGATGCAGCTGCTCGGCCATGGAAACCCATTCCATGAAGCTCTCAATGCACTGTTGTTGAGCCAATCTGAAGGCCACACAAAGTTTGGAGGCCTGTAGCTTTTGACTGGTTTTTGCGGCTGAGTTGCTGTTCCCAGTTGCTTCCACTTTGTTATAATACCACTAACAGTTGACCGTGGAATATTTAGTAGCAAGGAAATTTCATGGATGGACTAATTGCACAGGTTGCAACCTATCACGGTACCACGCTTGAATTCACTGAGCTCCTGAGAGCGACCCATTCTTTCACAAATGTTTGTAGAAGCAGTCTGCATGCCGAGGTGCGTGATTTTATACACCTGTGGCCATGGAGGTGATTGGAACACCTGAATCCAATGATTTGGAGGGGTGCCCCAATACTTTTGGCAATATAGTGTGTGTCGAAACAAACCAGGCCGAACCCCTGTGGGCTGAAAGAATAAAGCCTATTACTACATGACCAGCTTGATCCTTCACTACTGTGTTCAAAACTAAAAACTAACATTTTGGCTCGAGATACACTTCTAAAAGCATTTTGAAGGGTGATAACAAAAGGAACCTAAAAGGACATAATAGCCACCATACATGTAGAGCTACAGCATTTTGGTGCTTCCATTCAATAATTTCCCCTCCTATTAAGTTTTAACATTTGCTTGAATTTTTCTGCTGAAATTATGAAGATCTTTGCATAGTAGAGGAGCATGTACAAGTGAACAGGTAACCAGGGAGTATTACCATATTGTTAGAGAGGTATGATTTCTATATAAGTGGACTGACAATGAGAGATAGATGCTTAACGATGCAGCACGGGAAAAGTCTTGGATGTGAAAGTGGGAGATAGTAACATTTTAGTGTTATAAGAGTAGATCATCTTCAGGGATGAGAGGACACTTTGGAATATAAATGAATAATGAATGAAAGATGGATACTGAAGTTCTAGAAAGTGGAGACTAGAAGTACGAACAACATGAGTCACTTCTAGTTCTAACAATGGAACAGTAGTCTGTACAACTCAGCGAATACCAGCCGGATGTGTCCTGACAGCTCCAGTCAACTATCACTCATTGCTGTCACTCAGCATAAAGTGACAATTTCAGCGGTAGATTATGACAACTGGCACAGATGAAAATTATATTTCATACAACTGCCAGACAGATGCTTAATGCCAATCTTGTTTATATCCTCTATAATACAACGGTTGTGAACATCACAGCCATGCATTCTGAGTAATCCATCCTTAAAGTGAGCCCATGAGGAGAATAATACGAGAGCTGCCTTAGTTGACTCGTGTTAAAGGTGCATGCTCTGGGACTAGCGTCCTGTTTCTGGCTTTACTACCAAATGAGCCACTGCTCTGGAACAAGCATGCAATCATGAGAAAAAACTCCGGTCAGAAGAAAACTTAGCCCTTCTGCTCATTTTCATCTAGAGTCTAAAATCAGTGGCGGAACAATCACCATAGTGACCCAGGCGGCCGCTATGGGGCCCGGGGAACAGGGGGGCCTGGCGAGGACGAGGAACAAAGGGGTCCCCCTGATGCCGTGCGGGCCGCCTGGGTCCTATGGCATCTCTGGCTGTCTGGCAGCTGTGAGGCGGAACGTGCAGCTGTTCCGCCTCCTCTGCTGCCGGGGCTCAGCGTCGGCAGCGGAGGAGGCGGGACCCGGCAGTGGAGGACGAGGATGACAGCGGATCGGGGCTGACAGGTAAGAGTTGTGCATGGGTGTGACCAGCCCACCTGAGACCCTGCAGAGCTCACCGTAGAAAGTCTAGGGTGGGCTCTGCAAGGTCACTCTCAGACGGGTTTTTGGGATCTCAGGTGGGCTCTGCAAAAGACGTAACTATAAATCACAGGGCCCCATACAAAATTTTGCAATGGGAACCTGTGAGTTCTAGTTACGCCACTGTCTAAAATAATGGAGAAATACTCACCCGAACCTCGGAACTGCCTTTTTCCTTCTCCACTCTAGCCGGTCCTAGGTTCGGGTGAGTATTTCTTTGTTAGTTTAGACCCAAGATGAAAACGAGCACTTAACCCTTACAGTGCTTTGATAGCCCTACTGAAAGGGTTATGTTTTCTTCTGTCAGGAGTTCTCCTTTAATTCGAGTCAGTGGGGGTGATTTAGTAACCTAAACACACACACGCACCAGGTGCGTGTGATTTTCACACAGCAAAACGTATTTATCAACCAAAAAGTCTCTAAAAGCATATTTCCACTAATGCCATACATGGAAAAATCATGCACATGATGCATATATAATGCTGCTTCACAGTTTAGACAAAAATGGTTAGCTCATGCATTTACATTCCTGCATTCATCAACGCAAGCAACACAACATAGAGCTAATTTACACAACATCACCTTGCAATTCATGCAGGGCTTTGCACAACACACCTGCTGGGTGTGTACACACTACAAAGGTGTTTAGATTCCACCCATAGATCATGCTGGGAGGGAACACACTGCAGAGGTGTATACATATTCGTGGTGTTTTTATAAGGTTAGTAAATCAACCCCAGTGACTCACTTTGCAGTGAGGCCAAAATCATGATGACAACCCTGGAGCCCACAGCCTTAAAACAAATATATGCAACTAAAACCTAATCTAAGTGTTATAACAATGTAAGGTCTTTTGGGCTACCTAGCTGGGTGGAGGTGCTGGGGAACATTTGTAATGTTCAGCATATTGCTGGTTAAAAATTGATCTAGCAGCTGACATTTGCTTTGACTAAAAAATTAACTCTGGGCAAATGTTTTATCAACCCTTGCAATGGGGCTACCCCCCCCCCCCCCCCCTTTTATCCCCTGAGCCAGCTTGCTCTTAGAATGGTCCTTGCAGCTTCGCTCCCCCTCCGCTGCAGTAGTCTATGGCCCCCGAGTCATCAGGTTCTATACGCAGTGTATAGGATGTGGGGATGCCAAGGGACATACCATCTCCATGGTGGAGGGGGGGAGACAGGCAAGAGGGAGCGCTGACACAGCTGGCCGGCTCAGGTAAGTATAACTTAGTTATTTTTCTCCCTAGACCAAAACGAGCAGTTAATCCTTGCAGGGGAGGGAGGGGGGTAGCCCCACTGCAAGGGTTAATACAAATTTTATCCGAAGTTCTCCTTTAAACAAAAAGTCGA